TTATTGATATGTTTTTTTAAATTTTTATGCTCGATTAAAGATTGTTCATAAGAAAGAAAATTTGTGATATTCATCTAAGCAAAGGTTTGAAATGTCCAGACGTTACTCTGAAGAAAGGCATGTTGAAAATTGGTGAAAATGTTATATTTTATTTTGGTGTAATTAGGCAGTAAAGCTCGCTATCGCTGTGGTGTTATTGAACTTGGACATGACCGAGTGGCGTGGACTTCCATCGAAAAGCTTACTAAGTGATGACGAGAAGGTTTCGATAGAGGTGAATAAACTTTTTATTGTGATTGTTATCAATTTATGTATAGATATAGTGCGATGAATTTAGAAGGGATCTATAGAAAGAGGAAGTCTGACTCTTTTGGATGATGTACTTGGTAAAGATGTTGTGAAAGACGTAGTAGTAGAAGAAAACTAGTGGAATGTAAAGTTCATGTAAATAAATATTTCTGAAAGAAATTAGTTGTGTATATAATAAAGAAAGATGAGTTGCGAAAAATCTGTCTATGCGACAGTGCGACCCAGTTGGTCGGAGAAACAAAAGCGCCCCAGTTGGGCTCAGAAACTATATAAAAGTTGGGAATAACAAGACAGGTCAATTTGATTTTGTATTTTAATGATTTTTAACAAGAAGATATTCGGGTTGACTAGAAACCCGTAAATGGTACTAACATTACGGGTTTTCTAGTCGGGTTACATTATAAGACTGAACGCCTGAAATGGCTATGGACCTTGGTGTCACCCATATCACTGTGCAAAAAGGGCTGGAAGTCAGCTGCCAGCCATGCTTAACGGGTAGACAGATAACGGCAAACCGCTCAAAGCTCGACGCACACGGAAGAAAGTGAAGCTGTGCATCTGATGTACCTGACGCGGTGTTGAATGCTGAGAGCTGCTGGATGATGGTGCGACTATCTGCCAAAACTTACATTGCTCACGATCAGCTACGACGTTTGAAGTCTCAGTTTTAACACACGAGGACACCACGCTCGAGGCATTTCCAGCACGAACATAGCAAGTGCAACCATGAACGAGCTAATGACGTATGGATGGACTGTTCTACCCCACCCACCATACTCCCCGGATCTCGCTTCATCAAATTACCACCTTTTCTCAGCTCTCTAACGCCACAGGATAAAAGTTTAATGCAAGTGTGCGGAAGGCGCTGAAGCTAATGTATACGCTAATCAAACGCACAGCGAAAGAATTTTGTCACAGAGATCTTGCTTAGGATTCCGTTCTCTGCTGAATTCGTGCGTCCGCCTTGGGTCATCACTCAGATTGGTTATCCATGCGTTTGATTGCGGTTATTGCATTAGAATCTCTAAGAATGAATTCTCGCCAAAAGGCTTCAACATTCTAAATAAAGAGAAAGTCCTGATTACCCTTGCGAGAGGCTTTTCTTGTTGCTCTATCGAAAAGTGTAATATAGGTGTATTGTTTTTCCGCCGTTTTTTATTCTACTGTCTCTCTTATTAAGGCTCCTCTACAAGGGCATTATTTATCTATTTATTATATCTTCGCATTTGACCCTAACTTCATGGTCTGCTACTCTTGTAAGTCTCTTCCATAATTCTTTGTCTGTTGCTTGTTCCTCCTCTCGGTTTTCTTCCTGGGACATCCAGTGATAGTGCCATTCTTGTAATGTCTGTCTTTTCTGGTCAGTTCGCCATCGAAGGCGCTTCTTCTATAACTTCTTCATAAATGGAGCGACCTTCATTGTGCTAAGTATGGTATTGTTTGAGATTTGGTTTACACAGTTACGCCTGCGCTCTATCTCAGCATTCTTATTTCCATTACTCCGTAGCGTTCTTCTTTTCAGGTGCACATCCAGCAATCGCTGCCGTGGAGTGCACCTGGTCAGCTGACGGTACGGTAGATGTGAGGCTTGAGGTTGCGAGAAATTCGTTCGCAAAGCACTTCAGTGAGGCTTCTCCACTTTACAGATGTTCCAATTTACCATGGACAAACATTCTGGGCTTCCTTGAACGACGATCCTGATCCATCATAGCTTGACCTGAGTGCTCCTGAATTGCATCGGGTGCTGCTTTGGGTCCGTAAGATCATCACGTCTGCTAACAAATTTGTATCTAGTCAGACCATCAAGAAGATACACAAGGCTGACAAATAAATAAAATTTTATTGCAAATAGATTGTGCGAATCAGACTGCGCAATTCTAAGCTGTGTTAGAGCTCGGCTGAGATATCTGCTTAGATGTGGGGTCGGGCTTGCTGAAAAATTCTCTCTGAATTGTGCCTCACAAGAGCCAATGTAAACAATCACCTTCTCAGAATTGTAGGTGTCGACTAGCTTCCTTATTCTGGTTCCGAGTTCAGGATCAACCTGTGAATTATTCCATTGATTCATTTGAATAAATTGTTATTGACTTACTTTTCCGAAGTTCTGTATGGCACGATCTTGAATGTATGTTTTACAATCCTTCATTGTGTCAAAGATGTTCTGAATTAAGCGAGCTCTCTCTTGATCGTTGAGTACCTGTAAAGTTGGTTTGCGCCGAGGGGGTGGAGAGTGCACAAACTGAGTTGAAAAGAACAATACCTTTTTGTAGAAAATCCTGGGCTGCTCGAAGACATCATCGAAGCCAGGATCGTGACGTGCAACATCTCCGGTTACACTAAACCTACTTTCGACGGAACGTGGACACGTCACATGTCCATTGAAACTATTTGGGAAGTAATTTGGCACATCTCCTACAAAAAGTTGAATAATTTCAGCCACTATTTGAATTTTCTTTGCACCTTGATTATCGTAAGTCGCAGGTCCGTCTCGTTGAGTATTGTGAGCACGTGCTCGATAAGGACAGTTGATAGGAAGCTGCATAAAGTTGGTTCCAAGTCTATGGTAGTGAGTGTCCGTGTAAGAGAAGAGACGTCCTTGCAACATTTTGTCCGGAGAGAATTCAATCCCAGGGACAACATGAGCCGGACAGAACGCTGATTGCTCTACCTGCAAAACATAATTTTGTGACTTTGTTTAATAACTTCCTTCTAATCATCTTCAACAAGATGTAGCAAATCTACTCCACGCTAAGGCTATCTATTCTGCGATAATGGGCCTGTGCTGTAATCTTATATATAAAGCTGAATGTCTGTTTGTCTGT